TATATATATATATATATATATATATATATATATATATAGTAAACTAGCTCATGATTGAAGAATAAACTTATCAAATTTACAACTTCGTAAGCATAAACCCGAACCAATTCACAATAGATGGACTTGATAAAAAAAATATAGTCAACTCGAAGAGGCTGCATTACTGTGCCTATGACACCTTTATACTAGGATGATATAGGGAATAACCCCTTGGCACAACATGTTGTAGAGCCACAGTACTAAGGAAAGGATTCTATTTGAATCACTCAGAAAATAGAAAGATAGAATAGAAAAATAACATATCCTAATAGTCTTTACTAAGTACGCAAACCTAGACTTAAGTCCCTATAACAAACTTTAGAAGATTTAGAGGGATAGAAAATCTAGAGAAAGGAGAAAAACTTACATATGCAGGATTGAAGTTAATCTCTAATTTTCTAAGCTCCGTTTTAGAAAAGTGCACAAAATTAAGGATGAAGAACCTCAAGGAACTTGGATTATCCTTCTTCTGCATTCTTCTCTTTTATCTTTAACACATAATTCTCTCAAGCTTTAAAGTCCTTCTATTTAATTTTGTACATGAAAAATCTAAACAAAAAGGGCCCCAAAAAATGCCAAGACCCCCCTTATCTCTCCCTTGGATTCCTCAAGAAGCTTGCCTATAATCCCTTCTAATTTGACCATCACCTTGCTACCGATCCTTGATATTTTTGCCTGGGCAATGTGAGGATAGGTTTTAATATTTTTGGTTTTGGACTGTGAGGATGCGACACTTTGACCCACCATATGATGATAAAGCAAACAAAGGGGGCGGTGCTACGATGATATCCATGAGTGTTGTGATGTTGCAGCTACAAAGAAAATCAACTCTCAAAATAGATAGCTTAGCACATATGGCATGGACACAAGCTCATTGACACCCTTTATAATGATGAAACTTCACCTAATGTGGCACTGAAACAACTATTCATTGAGTGAAATGAGATTATCCAAAGACATTTTAACTAAGACATAACCACATGAGCATGAAGCTCAACTTCAAGATGTCAAAAATATATTCCATTTATAAGAGTACCAAAAAATGATGCCAACATCCTAATTATATCACATAAAAAATCAAATTCAAATATTAATAATAACAAATAAATAAACTTAAACCTTTTATTAGGCATCTTAGAATGGCATCTCATCCATTAGAGAGGCGTGTCTGAGATCAGTCATGGTTTAAACTTTGTTTTCCAAACATGACTAAGGTAAAAGCGAACCCAAGCAAGACGCTAATAATCAATTTCATAGTTCAAATTATGGATAAATGTACAATCCTAAAACAATAGACTTAAACTAAGATACTTTTGAATATTGGTTTTAATTAACTCACGATGCCTTTAGTAATTTTGGTCTAGCATTTTTAGAATTTTTTGAAGTAAGAATAGTGCCCACTTCTAAAGCTCCATTCCATTTGTATATCCTAGCTACTTAGTAAGGCTCCAAACACTAAGTCTCACTCAAGATCTCTTTTTTATATGATTAAGCTCAACCTAAAATATTGAATACGTTAGAACTCATACAAGAAAGCGATTCAACATGACAGAGGCTTACAGAGGAAGTAATTATTTATATTAATTGTTTGTGTACACCCAAGCTATCATTAAAGTGTCTTCTAAAATCAATTTGATGGAGCACGACAAACTTGATGAATGCTAAGGCAACTTCATTTGAATCAGAGTCATGGTGATCTAATTGATGGAAATATTTGCTACAAAATAATTTGTTCATAATTAACAAAGCAAGCACATCTAGAATGTCAAATCTTTTTAAAGATGGCGACTATATTGTTGGGTCTTTTCACATAGGTCAAAGGAGCACAAATTAAGGGATATAATATTAGAAAAAAATTATAAAAATGAAAAAAACTTCATAGAAATACTAATATAAGACCGAAAAATAGTTTGTAAAGATAATTAATATGAATTACAATGATAATGAAATTTTAAAGATAAGGTATCATGCATATCATATCGGTGGGTTTCAAAAACCCATGTTTGAACCTAAGTTATAAGAGCACTTCTAGCTCTATTAAATGAATCTTTTGGCATATCTTGTTATTGATTCAAAATTATAATAGGTTTGCATAAAGCTATTCTTCTAATAGGTAAGAGATTGCCATAATACTACTCATTTGAGAAGATTCTTAGTCCCCAACATAATAGGAATATCCTGGCTTGCTGAGAACACACTACTCCTTTTTAGACTTGAATTGTCACAAAATAAAATTTGAACTGTCCAACTAACTCAACAAAGGTAACAAATACTATGTGCGCAGTTAAAATCCGAAAGCATCGGAAAGTCTATAGTAGTAAAACTTAAACATCATACATAAAGTCTTATAAATAATCAATTGCATACATAATAGTTGAAAAAGTAAACTGAACCTTGCTAATTGTATGGTATGGAGTATAAAATTGAATTTCAACTCCCTAAGGTTGTTGAACCTTGGCCTCCTCTTTTAGAAGCCAATCTACTTTCTCATTTGAACAATAATAAAGTGAAAGGCAAATGATTTTATTTATAATCAAAGCTTAGAGAAAAAATATTTGAATGACAAATGTTATTGTTGTTGATCTCATTTTTTGACTCAATCATCCTTGTCTCAATCATCCTTCGACCCACCCATGGGTCTCTTAGGATTGTGTCACATTAATCGTGATCAACATCAACTTTCATAGCAATTAATCAAATTCGATCGTTGCATTTTTTGCTTGTTTGTGTATGATAATGGGTGGGTTGCTTGCCATCATATAAGCTCCTTATCATGCCTCAATTTACCTTTTGAGAGTTGAACCGTGCCTGTCATTAAATTTTGGGAGATATATGACGAATGTGATAACGAGTCACCTTTTTTTTCACATGAATTCGTGCATATAAAATTTTATTATCATGAATTTTCAACCACCTAAAAATTCATCATGAGGATTTCCAATGAACCGCCAACCCAACAAGCAAT